TATAAAAAATTATTACTTTTTAAAATTAAGCATTTAGCTTTTAGCCTTAAATAATGAAATGGAAATTTTTCATCTCATTTTTTAGGCCACTTATTAGTTTAAGTGGTGCCACATGGTAACTTATGTGGTGCCACACAATTAAGAACATGAAGTTTTGTCAACATGATTAATAGAGTTGCATTGGGATATATGAAAATGAATAAAATTAAAATAATTTTGAAAGTTAATAGATGAGTTTGAAAAAAAAAATTTTAATAAAAATAATTAATAAATAATTTTTTAAATTAAACCGTTTCCTTTAAGCCTAAAAACGCAGAACAAGAGAAGCATGTATCATCAAAACGTCTTGAATAATTGCTGTTTTGGGCCACCTAAGCCCATTGAGGCTACTTTTCGTTTTTTCTTTGAACTAGGGGAATTAGGGGTAGGGGAGAAGCAAATAGTGATAAGGGAATCGAACTCCCATTGTGTAGGTAGAAACTCACATAGTAGACACTTCTACCACACATCAGAATTTAAAGCCATTGAGGGTAGGTTCAATGCTAAATTTGGTCCCTCAATTTTAGTGAGTTGTACATTTTTGGTCTTTTAACAATTTTTTTTGTACTTTTTTGATCCCTCAACTATACGAAATACACTCCGTTAGTCCTTCTGTTAATTTCGATCGTTAACTCACTTATGTGACATTTTTTATAATTTTTTTTGATGATGTGGCAAAAACAAATTGAAAACATGTTAGAGGTGGAATTTTTTTTATGCAAACTCAATTATTACTATTTATATTTTTAAAAAATAAAATAAAATAATTCGTTCATCTTCTTCCTTTCTCTTTTTCTTTTTTTTCTTCCTCTTCTTTCTTCTTCTTCTTCCTCTTCTTCCTCGGGTTATTGAACCCTTTGCTGGGTTCCACCGAACCCAGCACTGGGTTCCACCGAACCCAGAACCCAGCTCTACTTTTTCTTTTTCTTTTTTGTATTTATATGATTATTTGCCAAGAGATTATTCAAATTGTAGGTTGTTGCGAGTGATTTTTGGACAATTGAGTTCAGTGAATTGAGCTGGGTTCGATGGAACCTATTTGCTGGATTACATCGAACCCAGATTTGCTGGGTTCCGTCGAACTTCCGATGGGCAAAGAAGCAATTGTTTGTGGTGATGTGGGACCCATTTGGATGGATTTTGTGTGTTTTCGCATGTGACATGGCAAAAGTTTTATCCATATTATCATTTTTTGAAGTTTTGCTCTCCACATCATCAATAAAATATAAAAAATGCCACCTAAGTAGAGTTAACGGCCCAAATTAAGGACTAACGGAGTGCATTTTGTATATTTGAGAGATCAAAAAAGTGCAAAAAATTGTTAAGGGATCAAAAATATTCATTTCTTAAAGTTGAAGGACCAAATTAAGCATTTAACCTTGAGGGTACCTTGGAAGCTCTATTAATAACAAGGATTGATGATGATAATTATTGGGAATGTGCCTTATGGCATAGTTTGACTCTGATAGCGGCAATCGAAAATTTCATAACAGAACTACTATATTAATCGACATCTTAAACCCGCGAACTTGTGCCCCTCCACGTTTCCTCTTTCTATCTATCTTTACTTTTCATCCCACCCTCTCTGATATCGCTCGCCGAAGACACCGTGATCGTATTTCTTTCTTTCTTTCTTTCCTTCTTTTTGCATCTCTTGAGTTGGGTGTTAATTTTCTGTTGGGATAATTGGTTGGAGCGATTGCTCGGTGCTGCACTGACAAGCGCATCTCTGGGGATCGTGGTTTTGGAGCAGCGCAAAAAATTCTAAGTTGGTTTTAGCCCGCCTTTCTCCCTATTAACCATTTTGATAGCGGAATTCGAAAATTTCGTAACAGATCAACTACTGTATCGCGAATTTGTGCCCTTCCATGTCTCCTCTTTCTATCTATCTCTACTTTTCATCACCCTCTTCCTGATATCCCACGCCGAAGACACCGTCATCAGCGTTCAGGTGAATGTCTTTCTTTCTTTCTTTCCTTATTTTTGCATCTCTTGAGTTGGGTGTTAATTTTCTGTTGGGATAATTTATTGTAGCGATTGCCCGTTGCTGCACTGGCAAGCGCATCTCTGGGGATCGTGGTTTTGGAGCCGAGCAAAAATATCTACGATTCAATTTCCGACGAGAGATTCGAAATCGCTATTCAATCTAAGGTGCATTTTTCTTTTCATATCTTAAACTGAAACCCTAGAGAGATTGATTCAATTCAGCATATTATTGATCTAAGATTTGCTTTTGCTGTGTCTATTTTATTTCGGTTCTTTTTCTCTTTTATGTGTTTTACATATCTAAATATCAAAATTTTCTTAGAAAATTGTTAAGAAATAGGCAAGAAGATTTCAGAATTTTTTTTTTCTGCAATCTTTAGCTTTTGAGCTTTTTATGTCCTAACCAAAATCTGTTGCCTTATTTATTGTGTGTTTATTTTTATGAGATAAGCTTTAGCTATAGCTTCACCCTTTTTGCATTTTATGTTGGAATTCATAAGTTTGGTTCTCCTTCTTTTGATTTTCAGATTTCTTTACACCCAATGGCTACATTCATTGGTGAATTGTCCACAGAATTGAGTGGTATTTTGTCAAACAAGCTGAAAGACGAATTTTTGGCCATTAAAGGAGTTAATCATGATATAGAGATTTTGAAAAAAAATCTAGATACCATAGACAGAGAACTACAACTTGCAGATCTTAAGAACAATTTCCATGTCAACATGTCACTGTGGCTTATGAGGTTGACTGATACTCTATATGATATAGAAGATGTTCTAGATGAATTGGAGTACCGGAAAACACAGTTAGAAAAGAGTACTAAATGGGAGCGGTTTCTATATTCAAATCTGCAAATCATGAAGTTTAAATATTGTAGACCTCTTGTGCAGGAGATCAGAAAAATTAGCAACAATTTGGAATTCATTGCCAATGAAAAAGGAAGTGGCATCATGCAAGGTGGACAGTCTCTCTGGCAAATATCTTCCCATTCCATTGGTAGTTTAGCGTCAGATATTTATGGCAGAGATGATGTGCTGCATCTAATCACAGAGACACTTTTGTCCAACCAAAGAACTGCCCCATTGGCTATTGTTGGAATTGCCGGAGTTGGCAAAACTGCCCTGAACCAGGTTTTGTATTCTGATCCAACAGTGAAGAATCATTTTGATATCAAACTATGGGTATCTGTGTCTCGACGCTTGGATTTAAAAAGAATTGGTAGAGAGCTTCTGGGTGTAGTGAATGGTGCAGTGAATGGTCAGTCAATCTCTGACACAATGATCTTTAAAAAGATTGCTGAGTGTATTTCTGGGAAGAGAATTTTTTTGGTGCTGGATGATGTTTGGAATGGGCAAGGTACAGATTGGAGTTCTCTGCATGTTGCATTTCAATCTGCAGCTCCTAGCAGCAGAATTTTGATAACAACTCGGAGTTGCAGGGTCGCAAAAGAAATGGATGCTATGATATTCCATCTAGGATTACTCAATTTGCATGATAGCTTCAAGTTGATGGGTGATGCTTTCAAGGACAGAGATCTGGAAGAATGTCAAAGACTAAAACAAGTTGGACTGAGGATTGCAGAAAAAGCTGGTGGTCTTCCATCTGCTGCCATAACACTTGGTTCTCTTCTGAGATTTAAGACTGAGTATGAAGATTGGGAGCAAGTGCTGAAAACTCCCATTTGGGATATTAAGGCTGTTGTGCAGAAGGTATTTGTTCCATTTTTACCAAACTACCTGGACATGGAATTAGATGTCAAGAGGTGTTTTTTATTTTTGTCCCTTTTCCCAAGGGGCAGTAATTACAATTCAAATGAGATCATCAACTTTTGGTGCTCTCAAAAGTTTGTTAAGTCAACTGCAGAGGGCAAAGAGAATTTGGAAATGCTGGTGTCTTTAAGCTTTCTCCGAGTAGCAGAACGGGATAATGAAGGAAATGTTCTTTCCTACACCATGGATAATATAATCCATGATTTGCTGACTTGCTATTCAGCAAATGAGGTAGTTTTTCAAGAGGTGAAGGATAAGGAGATGGTTGTTTTGCCTTCAAAAGTACTAAAGACGCGACACTTGGGACTCGTTGGTGTACCATCAGATTTGAGTGGTTCAACAAAATTGAGGACTCTAATTGTCACAACAGAGCAACAGGTTGAAGACAGTAAAGGCGAGGATTTGAAACACCTGTTTTGTCCCTGTCTAAGGAGTTTGGATTTTCACACCTCAAGAGGTAGCTCCTATTCTTTGTTTCAGAGGGGGCTTCCAAAAGAATTTTCGAAGTTAATACATTTGAGACGGCTCAATTTGTCTCACAATGACAGCATATCTCGACTTCCAAATTCGCTTTGTCTGCTCTATAATTTGAAGATTCTTCTCCTAGAAGCTTGTCCAATGTTAAAGACCTTACCCAAGAAGATTGGTAATCTTGGAAAGCTGCAGGAATTGAATACCAATGAATCTGGTATCAGGCAGTATCCAAAAGGGGTGAAACTTCTGAGTTTGCTTACTAGTTTAAATGGGATATATGTTCAATTGGATGCAAACGGGAAATATTTCTCTCTTGAGAATTTTGAAAACTTAAATCAACTCAGTTATTTG